GCTAAGAATGGAAAGAAAACATATATCTACTGCCAGAACTCCAAGAGCCAGTGTACAGTACCAACTTTTAATACATACTCAGAAGATATTTGAGACAATGGCTTTCTGTTGCGCCATAGTACCTGGGACTGTGATCTGGCATTGCTTCTTTCCTGCCTCCCTTGCCTGTGTTCTCATCTCCCACATTCCCTGCTAAAGGTATTGGGCCTCTGTGTAACCCCTTGAGGCCCATATATCCTGTGGTATTTTAGTGTGTGTGTGCCACCTAGTGAGCAAAAGCGTAACTGCAAGCTTTAATGGCCCCAGAAAGCAGCATGAGTATCAAAGCAAGTTCTGAAGAAGTGATGGCACACTTTCTCACGGTTCCCCTTATTGTCCCAACGGAGGGACTTGGTGTGTGTGTGTTTGTCTCTTCCCATCATCTGCTTAACACCTGTGACCTTTCGGAGCCCAGGGGAAAGGGTTCTGTTGCTCTCAGATTAGGTCAGTTCTTGTAAGTTCTTCCATGGCGTAGATAACTCAGCAGAAGCTACTGGAGTCATACCTGTTATGCTTATCGGTGTGAGTATTAGAGTTGGCTTAGTTTGTATTTACTAGACTAACATCCACAAGGACCCAAGCCCTGTTCTTGCTCATTGTTATGCCCCAGCATGTAACCTAATAGCTGGCACAGAAAGATTCTTTAATCTCCATAGAGGGAGTGAGTGGGCACTGTGTGCACTGAAGAGATTGGGTCGGCCAGGTAAATACTCAGCAGAACTGCACGGATGGCTTATGTCAGCTTGATACACACCAAACCCATCGGACAGGAGGGAACTTCAACTAAGGGGATCCCTCCGTGAGACCAGGCTGCAGGCGAGCCTGCAAAGCACTTGATAATTAGTGGTTGATGGGAGGCCAGTCCATTGTGAGTAGTGCCATCCCTGGGCTGGTGGTCCTGGTTGTTCTCAGACAGCAGCTGAGACAGCCATGAGGAACAAGCCAGTTAGCTGCACTCCTTCATGGCCTCTGTATCACCACCTGCTTCCAGGTTTCGGCCCTGCTTGAATTCCTTCCTAACTTCCTTTAGTAATAAACAGAAACAAGGAAGTGTAAGCCAAATAACCCTTTCCTCCCAAGTTGCTTTGGTCATGGTGTTTCATTTTAGCAATAGTAACCCTAACTAAGACACAGATGCTCATTTGTTCAGGGAATAGCAATAGCATGCTCCAAAGGATATGCCAATATTAAGAGGTAAAATCATGGCATATTTTATTGAACAAATAAGTGTTCTAGTTTGTTGCAGTTGCTATGATAAAACAAAAGCAAGTTGCGGAGCCGAGGGTTTATTTCCACTTACAGGTAACAGTCTGTAATGGGGGAAGCCAAGGCAGGAGCTCGGAGCATAATTCCAAAGGAATGCTGCCTTCTGGCTGTTCCCAGGCAGACATTCAGTTGTAACAGACTTTCCTTTGGGCCATCAATCAACTCCCAAATCATGACAGAGACATCTTATTAGTTCTGAATGCTCAGCTTTATCTTATGCTTGTCCATAAGATAAAGAGCTTGTCCAGCTCTTATAACTTAACCCGTTTCTCTTCATCTATGTTTGCCTTGGGGCTTTTTACCTTTCTTTTCATTCTATATGTCCTACTCTATGTCTGTCCGTTCAGCGGTTGCCTGGCTCTAAGTGTCTCACTCTTTTTCCCCCTTGTTCTCTTCTGCCGAGCCTAGATTCCTCCCCCTGTTTATCCTCTGCCCACCAGCCCCACCTATCCCTCTTCTGCCTAGTTATTGGCTGTTCCACTTTTTATTAGACCAATCAGGTGCCTTAGGCAGGCAAGGTGAGACAAAGGTAGCATAAACAAATGTAACACACCTTTACATAGTTAAAGCGATATTCCACAACATAAACAAACTAACATATCTTTGCCTAGTTAAAGTAATATTCCACAGAATTCAGTTACCTTTCCTAAACAGTCCAAGTCCACTTTCCCAGGGTTAGCATCGCCCACAGTGGGCAGAGCCCTCCTGCATCAGTAAGCAATTAAGATCCCTCTCCCAAAGTGCCCACAGGCCAATCTGATGTAGGGAATTCTTCTGTTCCCTCTTCTCACCTGTCTCATGTTGACAGCCAAGGTTAGTCATGAAGGCACCAATTAGATGAGACACAAACCATCCAGAGGACGGCACATAGACCACCAGAAGCACAGGCACTGACAGGGCAGGCACCACAGTAGCGCAGTGTCTTCAGTGGAGGGAGGGTAACAGCTGCAAAAAGGAACATTGTTGTTAATTGGTTTCCCATGTGTTTCTAAAACTCTTTATGAGTAACTTTTGTAAAGTACACTGGTTAGTAACATCTCTGTGGAAAGCGTCTAGGTAGGAAATGCGAAATAGACTCAGATTTGCGTTTGAAGTTCATGTCCTGGCACTCAAGTATTAGAGCAATTGTACAAGGAATGATTGGAATTCAATACTTGAGAGCGATGATCCAGGCAGGCAGCTCCAGGGTTAGAGAGAGCATCTTGGTGTACTAGACTCTACAGGGCAGCAGGCGATGTCAGTTCCTGTGTTGTTACTGGTCCTGTTTGGGATGATGTATGTGACTTGGACAAATTATCAAACATCTCTGGGCATACTTTCAGGTTTATTGTTACACATTTCCACATCACAGGTCACGAGTGCTTATTCTATGTGTGTTCTATTGGTGCCACCTTTTAGGAGCAGGTGGGCTCAGTTCTAGAGGAGATTAAACAGGAAGACAGGAAGTTCCTTCTCTAAATGGGTGACGGAGGCCTCCAAATTCCTGGTTACCATTCACCACCCGGAGGATGCTGAATGATTTTGAGTTTCATGGCACCAGTTTCCAGCATTCGGATGCCATGGTCCTCTTGGAGAATCCAAAGTTCTTTTCTGAGATCATGTCAGAAAAGACATGGGCCAGCTTCAAAGAGTCAAAGGGCAAATAGTTTAAAAATCCTGAAGTTTATATTTGAAACATTTCAAACGTGTAATAATAAAGAGAATATTTTAGAAATCCTCAGATATCCTTCTTATAGCTTTAACATTATTGAGCTCAAGGCCAGTCACCCTGTACTAGATTATTCTCAAGGAAAACCTCAACAGTGTGTCTTTTAACCAGTGACTGTCTTAAGATGTGTATCTTGAAGGCAAGGACTTTTTAAGTCAAAATTCAAAGATGGGCTATTTTGAACACCAGTAATAACTATGGTGGGTTGAAATGTACCAAATATTTACAAGCCATGACAGTATTTAAAATAACCTTATGTTGTCATCCCTTTAGAGACCTCTGGGGCAGTGGCTCACTACTCTGCAAATAAAAAAGCAGATTTGGAACTTTTTCTGCTGTGTGTGTGTGTGTGTGTGTGTGTGTGTGTGTGTGTGTCTAAGTTGCATGTTGGTATAGTGCTAAATAGTAAAGCTCTTCAAATAACAAATAAAACAGGAATATTCCATAAAACAGTAATCATACACCCCCTGTTGAGAAGTGGCCCTGCCAGTGATTCTGATAGGTGATGGAGCATCAGCTGGACACTTGGGGAGGGAGCTGACATGAGTGGACAGGTCAGCCACACAAAAGGCGTATCAGCGCTATCGCAATTAGACATCACATGTCTACCAATGTGCACTATAAAAATACACCTCACCACAATGGCTTATGATGCTTGCCAGAGAAAAATACCAGTTAGCCAGAAACGGAATCTAAGACGCCACGTGAAATGCCAGATTCCAGGAAATGAGCTGCAATAGCATGTTCTAAGACATAGCTGACACAAAGGAAAGGGGGGAATAGCCTCCAGGAGACCAGAGACATGACAACCACAACCAGCACCGTCTTTTGTGATTCTGACCCATGAAATAAAATACGGATGTGGTTTGTATGATGTAAAAGATTGAAGAATACTTGTAAGTATGTAAATGCCACAATTTTTAGTTGTGTTAAAAAGAAATCTTTGATCTAGAAAGGTGGTTCAGCAGGTAAAAAACACTTTATGCCTTTATGGAGGGTTCTGGTTCGGATCCCCACAACGTCATGGTGGCTTCCAACAGTTTGTAACTCCAGTTCCCAGGGATCTGACACCTTCTTGTGACTTGTACAGGCACCAGGCATGCAGTGGTGCATATACACACAGAGAAGCACTCATACACATAAGATAAACTAAATCTGTAAAAACAAATATGTGTTAAAAACACATAGCTAGGACTGGCAAGACAGCTCAGGAGGGAAAGGTGCTTGCTGCCAAGCCTGAGGATCTGAGTTCTGTTCCAAGACCTCTATGGTAGAAGGACAGAATCAGCTCCCACAGATGGCTTTCGATTCCCACATGCTTACTATGGTATGCACACGCTTACAAACAAGTCAGCCAATCAGCAGAAACATCTTCCATTTTAGAGCATCTAATAAATGCCTAGCACAGTGCTGCTCTGAAGACCTTGTTCCTCAGAGTGGGCTCTTCAGACCCTGCCCTGCTGTCACCTAAGCACTTGGCACAGGTGCAGGAGTTCGGACCCCAATACTCCAGAACCACTGAAGAACCAGAGCCTACATTTTTGTGACATTATAAACCACCTGGAGTTTTAAACATATACATATTTAGAATTGAAAGCACTCTCTAAAACACTTAGGACTTGTGGGGGATGTGGTAGGGTAATAAAATTGGCTAATCTTGGTAGTTCTTAAAATTATGTGATAGTTACCATGTGGATTTATGACTGATACTAAATCAGACATGCTGGTATCAGAAACTGTGACTGTCCGTGTGTATCTATTTCTAGTTATTACTTGGTAAGTGTTGAGATTTTTTTTTTAAAAAAAAATATAACTGTGCCTCCATTTTTCCTTCTTCTAATTTGTCATGTTAGTGAATGACATTCAAGAGCTTTGAAAGTATATTTCTTTTGTAAGTATTTCTTATAAAATCACACTGTTCTTTTAAATTATTAGGGAGACATATTTTAAATCACTAACTCAATTTGTTGTCAATTTTTCTCTCCAGGCACACTTGAGAAGGCCTCATAAGAGCCTCGATGGTACCCAGTTTGATGATGATGATGATGACATTGAACGAGCAAGCAAGTGAGTCCAGCTCTGGGTTGTCCCGTCTGGCGGTGCAGATCACTGGCAGGCGGCTCTGGGTTGTCCTGTCTAATTGCGTGGCTCACTGGCAGGAGGTTAGGTACTACTAAACTTCGGGTTTGCTCCCTCATAATGATCATCAGCAAACCGAAATGGTGCTCCTTGCAGCACTGTGAAGGGCGGGGCTTGGGAGAGGGGCAGGCAAGACAGACATGAAAGGTCCTATCCTTGGGAAGCAGAGATTTTTACGGAGCTGTCCAAAGAGTGAAAAGGGTGACACAGGAGCACAAGTTCTCACCCCACACTGAAAGCAACCAGGGACACAGGGACAGTGGTGACAGTCATTTTGAAACAAACCGGGCTAAGGGAGGGCCTAAGGTGAAGGTGACATCACAGGAGAGAAATGTGGAACTGTGTTATGAAATACGAAATAGGGAAATTATATAAACTTCAGTTTTTAGCAATTTTAGTAATAAATTGGACATTCTCCACATGAATGAAATAAATGTGCTTTTATAAGAGTATTTATCCTTGTCTAAGTCAAGTAAGAAAAGGAAAACCATAGAAAATATGAAAAGTTAACTTGGAGTGTTGCAAACTTTCCAAGTGTTCAATCTAATGCTTCTAGTCAATTCCCAAATTCCATAGGGAGACCGATGAATAGTCCGGCTTCGGGCTAATGAGCCATGACTTTGTATTTACTTGTTCATAATGCATATACCCACTTTTTTTCAGTATTTGAAACAGATATATGCATAACTGTGGACAGATGGGCCATGGACTAATTATAATTTTTATTTCTGTTCTTTGTCCTTCCCTGTCCTCAAACCTCTCCTCACCTCTTTCCTTTTCATTTCCATTTTTATTTCCTCTTATTTCCCCTTTTCTACTACTTCTCTCTTCTCTCCTTTCTTTTCCTATTTTCCCTCTGTAGTCCCCACTAGCCTCACTCACTCTTGCAATCTTCCTGCCTCAGCCTCTTGAGTGCTGGAATTAAAAACTTGGACCTCTCCCTCCCCTTCAGTTCTGACTTTGTTGTTGTTCTGCTGAAATACTGCATGGAGGGCGAGCTGTTAGGACCTTGCCTGTGTGGGTTGTGGGTAAAGGCGGACCGCCGACCGCCGTCCCTGTGTCTCCTTCCAGGGTGTCTTCTGAGGATGGCGAGGAAACATCTGCTTATTTCTACGAGAGCGACGACTCCATTGGAGCTCAAGTGAAGGCGCCTTATTCAGGTGAGATGGACTTGCTGGGGGAGATCCTGGACACGCTGAGCACGCACAGCTCCGACCAAGGCAAGCTGGCAGCTGCAAAGAGCCTGGACTTCTTCAGATCCATGGATGACATCGATTACAAACCTACGGTTAGTTGAGTTTAACTTACAGGGTTAAATGAAAACACTCTTGCCTGTGCTGTGGTCGCAAGACCTGAGTTTATAGAAGCATTGAACCTAGGTAGGAAGGTACACCAACTTCAAACTATGGTAAAAATTCCATCCTTATGAATTATTTCAGCTGCTAAAATTGCCATAGTATTCACTGCCCTGTGTCGACCCACTGTTCTGTGGGGCTACTAGCTGATGCTCTTTTCCAGACAGATTCTCATCTAACTCTAGTTATCCTTGTGAAGACTTCATGTGAAATATTTTTACTTTAAAACTTTCTGGAGCTTTAAAGAAAAACTGTAAAGGATATGACTGTTAAGATCTTTTTTCCCCCTATTTTCTTGCTTTAAGAGTGAACAGAACAAAAGTACTGAATTAAGTGCTATTAAAAACCGTGAGGTAGAAGTGCATGAGCAGACCCCATTCTGACTGCAGAGAGCCTTGAGTGTGCATTCTGCGCACAGTCTGAATGTGGCAACTTAAACACGTAGAAACCAGTTTTTCGTGGTCCACCCACTCCCCTGTTCATGGAGCTGGAAAGATTCTGTGAATCCAAATCAGAAGGCAGCCAATGCTCCCCTCTGGGCCGTGCTCACACGCCTGCCTGAATCCTAGGAGCCTTACTTTCAAAACAGAAATCAAGTTACTGAAGAATCACTGTAATTTATTAAAAGGATTCTGAAGTTGTTATTTTCCTTTCCAGAACAAGTCCAATGCTCCCAGTGAGAATGACCTGGCCCTACTGTGTGCTTCTGGTGATCAAGGAGAGTGGAATCTCGGGCAGGACGACAGCGCCCTCCATGGCAAGCACCTCCCTCCCTCCCCCAGGAAGAGAGTTTCCTCTGGTGGCTTCACAGAGTCTCTGTTTATCCTGAAAGAGGAGAACAGTGAGAAACCCTGCTGTGCGGACAGTCTGTGTGACCCCGCTGTGGTGGAAAAGCCAGCTTCTACTCCATGCTTGGGTTTCCAGCCAGCTTCCCCAGAGGAGTGTCAAATGAGTGAAGGAGAAGCAGAGGTGAAGGAAACACTAAGTCAGGCCTCAGAGAGTCTGCTGCTGCCCAGCGTCGGGAGCCGCCAGTCCACTTTCGTTCCCTGGGAGAAAGGAGGGAAAGAGCCTGAGGAGCCTTCAGAAGGCGGTGGACTGCTCCAAGAAGTAGTGTCATTGTGTCACATGTCATGTGACTTCCAACAAGGTTTAAACATTTCAGAAGGAAATAGAAGTGAAGACCAAACTTAAGGTACCAGTAAAGGGTCAGTCATTGCCGCTTGTCTCTTGGCTTCTCCGGAGACATGTGGAATTAGTTCCCTGTGATGCGTACAGTAAACAGAATCACTCATAGGAATGAAAACTCTTACTACTGTTTAATTGTTTTCCTTTGGAATGTTCCCCATCTGTTCATCTCATGGAGCATAAAATGAATTCTACTGTGCTGTTAAATCAGGTACTAATTTGTATATAGCCTGAAAGTGTGTTTTGGACATAAGCTTTCCCAGTATTTGGTGCTTAATGCCATTCATTTTATTTAAACTAAGTGTGAGTATGTAATCCATACATATAACCAGTAGTTACTGTACTAATTTGGTTGAGCATGAACTGATCAAGATGTCAAAACCGATAAAAAGGAAATAGCCTGAAACTGTTAAAACTTTTAACCCACTAATTGCCTTAATCTTCCAGTTATGCTAAACATACAGATCACGTGTGCAGATCTTGAAAGAGCAGTTATCTTGTCTTTCAGAGCAATAATGCCTTTTTCTATCGCAGAATTAAGCTCACCATTCTTTTCAAGTTTAAATGCTCTCTAGTGGAACTAACTTGCTTTTTTATAAAGACACCGCAGCCATGTTTTCCGAACAATGTAAATGTGTATTTTACCTTCCACTCAGTGAAACCCATGAAGTGCTGAGTTACAATGTGAAGTTGAAGTCTCTGTTTACAGAGAAGCCCCTCAGACAGTGCCCGGTCTCTGTGTGCTGTGCTGACTGTGGTCTGCCTCCAGAAAGCCAGGTGCCCTGCGGAGTCCAGATAAGCAGTTGTCCCTGTTCTCCCATCTGCGTCCCCATGAAGATGCCCATAGCCTTATCTGTGTTGGCTTTTTTAAATAATCAACTTTATTTTTAAAATGTTCTAGATTTATAGAAATCAGCAAAGGTGGTACGAAGTTCCCATCTCCCTGGACCCGGTCTCTGCTATTGTTAGCATCTTAGGTTAGTTTGCCACAGTGTTGGTGTTCTACATGGTAGAGCTCTGGCTGTTCCCTGACGTCCCCTTTCTGTCCTACCCCCTCAGAGTTTGAGATTACATTATCGTGTCTGCTGGGGCTCCTCTTCCTGCTGGCACTTAATTGGTTGTTGTTGTTGTTTTTTTTTTTGGGGGGGGGGTTGATGACCTTGAAAATACCAGAAATACTGGTCAGATGTGTTGCCCAGTGGCCAGCTCCTAGAATTCGTCTATTTTTCTCATTATTACACTAGGATTGTAGTTGGAAGAAGAGGCTCAGAGAAGTAAAGTGCCATTTCCACAGTGTCTTACAGAGTGTGTGCTGCGAGCCTGTTCCTTGCAGTGCTGACTTTGAACACCTGCTGGGTTTCTGCACTGTAAACTTGTTCCCCCAGCACCTTCTGTTCTGTTGCAGGCAGGAGGAAGGGAGGAAGGGCGGGCACAAAGGAATTATTTAGGGCAGAAGAGTTGCCTTCCTCATGGTTACTGCTTACCTTTGGAGCACATCTGAAAACATACTCAGATTTCTCACACCAGACTGATGGTATGGGATAGCTTGTTTGTACCCTCCCTGCCTGTGTTCTGTATAGCCCCAAACATGACGGTTGCTTTTCAAAGTTTGTCTGTTTTTAGATTAAAAAAAAAAAAAAAAAAAAAAAAAAACTGTTGCAAAACCAGTTAACCTCAACAAGGCCATACTCTAAAGTATTTACTTAAGGAATATAATTTCAACTAAAATTTTAGGAGATTTGTTTAACATTGTGCATATTTATACAGGTCATCTAAAAAAAAGAACTGTATTCCAAAATATATATAATATATGTAGGTAGTTTTCCTTGTGGTAACTGTTCACTCATCTGTGGTGAGATGAGCTTGTCCTTAGGAGATAGGCTCTGCATAGAGAGTGTGTGTACTCCTCATTTTACACAGTCATGCGGCTCGAGGTTGTCAGATTTTGCCTGTGTATGTCCTTCATTAATCCCGGTTTACTGAAATAAGAGAGGCACCCACATTGTCACAAGGGCTGTTTTTAGTAAGAAGAGGAAGAGCTAGAGTGGTGATTCCACTCCTGGGCAAGCATTCCTACATAATCCCTGCACAGAATGCACAGCCTTTAACATGAATTGTGAATGAGGTCTCTTTTTCTGCTTCAGAATGCATTGTCTAAAAGATGACAGAGAACACTGGCTTCCGCTCCATGGCCACAGATTCCCGATTCTCTGCTTTGAGTCAGCCCGTGAGATGATCCGCTATAACACTAGGCTATTTGAAAACATTTAGCCACTCGCAAATAGCGCCTTAAGACCCTTTAAAGCTATCTGTGCCTTACTCTAGCAATCAAAGCAGTGACCCATGTCAAAGAGAAGAAACAAAATCATACACATTGTTCTTTAAAAAGTCCACATGTTGGTGCTTCACACCATTAGAACCTCAAGTATTTGATGTCAGCTTTTTTTTTTTTTTTTTTTTTTTTGGTTTTTCAAGACAGGGTTTCTCTGTGGTTTTGGAGCCTGTCCTGGAACTAGCTCTTGTAGACCAGGCTGGTCTCGAACTCACAGAGATCCGCCTGCCTCTGCCTCCTGAGTGCTGGGATTAAAGGCGTGCGCCACCACCGCCAGTGTTATTTATGGTGGGTGCATAAGAAGTAAGGGGCAATAGACTGAGTTCTGAAAAAAGCAAAAGTAGTGTTTTCTGCTGGGCAGTGTTGGCACACGCCTTTAACCCTGGCACTTGGGAGGCCGAGGCAGGTGGATCTCTGTGAGTTTGGGGCCAGCCTTGTCTACAGAGTGAGTTCCAGGACAGGCTTTAAAGCTACACAGAGAAACTCTGTCTCAAAAAAAAAAAAAACAAACCAAAAAATAAATAAATAAATAAAAAAGTATATTTTGCTTTACCCAAAGCAAACCAAGTATTTTAAGTTCCCTGCTATTCAAAGTCAACCTTTCTGCCTGCGCTGTCATTTTAAATGCTGAGCACCAACCAGCTGGAGCTCCCCAATAGACTTTTCAAAGCTGCTTTCGTCTGCAAGAGACTTGGATAACTCACTGCGCCAGCTTCAGCATCTTGGATTTATATGCCTCTGAACCAAGCCACACGTTGTCCTTAGTGTTACTTAGGCTTTGCACCCAGTAGTTCAGGGGGCTAAAGGTAGAAGGAGAAACTTAGGAGCTGCAGCTGGTTAAAGTGCAGATGCTCTGAGTGGCATACATTGGTGATTACCTAATTTAGCTTATCTTACACAGATTGTGGCATGATTATTTTTCAAATTCAAAATTAATAGCTCCTTCATTGAGAAAATATTTATTGACTTTTTGTGCCAGTCAGGAGGAAGGTATACTATCTAAGGATATCGGGGTATGGGAAGAAACAATTACCCTGGGCAATCGATGAAAAGGGAAAGGAACTGCAGATGTTAAAAGAATAATAATAGTGACTTTAATAATAATAGACTAGAGTAAGGTGTACTTGCTTAGATGGTCCTAGCTCAAGGGCTGACGCTGAGGACGCCTTCAAGAACAGCTGCTCTATTTAAAGTGTGCTCTAAGTACAGAGTCAATAACTTTTCTGGTAACTGCATGAGTTACTGGAACGCTGCTAAGATCCCACTTTTAAAGGACAGATTTGGAGACACTGCAAGGCCATCCACATGACATGGTGTGCCCCTTTGCAGGGTGGGTGGTCTCTGCCCCAGTTCAGCAATAACTTAGGGTATCTATAGACTGGGACCCAGTCATGTTGATGGGAGTCCAGTTTTTACATTAAAAAGAGAAACCTTGGTAACAGCATTTTCTAGAAACAGCCCTGTTCATTTTAGTTGAAGCCATAAGTGACAGTGTGGTTGGGATCCTGTGCTGCTGTCTAATGGTGTGACCCAGGAATACCTACCAAGTGGTTGGTAAGCAAAGGGAAAACTCCCGGTCAGCCACAGACAGCTGTGAGCATGCTTGGAATCAACAGCCATTCAACCTCCCCTCAGAGTTCCAGGACAGGTTCATCGCTTTCGTGAGTAAATTTTCTCATGAGAACTCCACTCTTTGGTGTCAGTGATTCTTGAATCTGAGTCGATATTTGAAAATCAGGCGTGTAAAATGAACCCCTAAATGTAGCCACTCCCCAAGCATGTAGGTAGTCGTTTTTAGAAACCCAGTTCCCCGTAAGCATCTTTCCCAGGTCCAGCCCAGAGTCCCGTCAGTTTCTTAAAGCTTCAAGGACTAGAAAGGCTTTGCAGCAGCCAGTTTGTGTTATGATTTAATTAAGAAATAGGGAATTGTGTATATTGAGACAGAAACATTTTATTTTGAAATATAGGATTTTGTGCAATATTTTTCTTGCATAATTTAGTTCATATGAATATGCACATCTGCTTTTCTGGCAGGTGCCTTAAGGTCATATCTTTCAGTATTTGCCTAAAACTGTATGTAGCAATGTTTTATGTGATTGCAGAAAAAAAATCACTTTTTCTATTGTTAGCTGAAGTGTTTTTGTTTATTTAAAATAATTGTGGGGATTGCATTATTGTATCATAACTAACTTCCTCAGCCACAATAAATATGCAATAAGGAAATCATGTACCTTTGATTAGTATTGACAATACTGTTACTTTAACAGAACTGCTGTGGTACAAAGTGCTGATTCTCTGTGTACACATTTAACTCCGCTTTGCACCACATGAATCTAAACGGTATATTTATGTGATAACCACATATGTAGATTCTGACATCCTTTGTGATGAGTCTTTGTTGAGGCTTATAAAGGGCATTGCCAATACTTTTTGACTGTAAATTAATTTTTTTGTATGATGTACAGTTTGTTTAGCCTGAGAGCTTCTATAGATTTCTACTTTTATTATACTTGAATGAGGCAGAAAGCACTGTGGGAAATTTGTAACTCTGGATGCAATATGCAGATATACCAAAAATAAAACAAGGTACCGAACAGCAACACTGACGGAATGCTTTATAATCCCAGAGTCAGTGTTTCTCAAGATGCATTGTAGTTAAATGAAGTAATTGAAGATGTGCACTCTTTTATCCACACGGTATAGTCACAAATGATTACCTCTCGGATGTGTCAAAGCTGTAAGTCCTTTATAACTTCTCTTTCAGTCCTTAGATGAGGACCATCCATGATCCCACCTCTGAGTACATGATGTTTAAGACAGAACAAATCAACTACATTGTGCGTATTGGATGCATTGCCTGTGGTAAATCACTATGTTTTAGACAGAGTAGCTTTCATAGATAATTTTGAGAACTCTTTAATAATCATATACCAAAAATTAAAAGCTTAAAATCAGTTATAACTTAACTGTGCCTAAAGCAACAAATACATGAAACCTTTGGACATGAAGGCCACACACATGGAGGATTCCGAATTGAATGTTTCCAAAGTTTGTGTTTAATGCTTTAGCTGAAGAGTTGTTGGCTCAACATGTAACCAATATGACAAAAAGAAACAAAACACTGAGCATTGAGGTATACTTCATTGCTCTTTTGTTCTTGAGGCTACAGGAGATCATCTCTAAACTTGACTACTATTGGGAAGATGTTCTGTATTAAAGTATTGCTTTGGGAATGTTTTTAAATATGCAAAATTAAATGTCGAATGAACTCTGCATTGCCATAAAGTACCCAACAATGTAGCTGAAAATAAAATTGGTCACAATCAAACACTGTGTGGTGGTGATGACTCTTCTACTTGCTAGGGGTCCTCCATACTGTTACAGGAGAGTGGCTTTGCGGACCCAACCATCTCCGTCTCCAATCTTTAAATGCTGCAGTGTAAATCTTTGTGATTGTCCTGTGCGAGTGGTACCTGTTCTGATTGATCCATTTATTAGTTCTTGTTGCTGCAGCAGGATGACTGATGTAATAACTTGAATGGATGAGATGAACGGTTACTTTAGCTCATGGGTTCGGGGATCTCAGTGTGTAGTCCTCAGCTTTGTGGCATCTTGATCTTTGATAAGGCAGAAGGTCGTGATGGTGGGAGTAGAATGGCAGGAGCTGGTCACCCTGGGGCAAAGAGCACAGCATAGTAGTGGTAGGAAGGGACCAGTGCAGGATGTAACCCCAAAGGATGCACCTCCGCTTTGCATACTTTCTCTGTTTCCCAGTAATTTATTCAAACTTTGAATGGAAGGGATTTTATCAGAGTGGTTAAGACTGATGATTGGTGGAAATGCTCTCACAGGCACACTTTATATGCCTTGCAAGCCTGGGCCTTTCTCACCAGGTTAGCAATCAGGAGGATCCTTGCAGGCTTTAAAGGCCCTCAGGCCACCATGTCCTCAGGGCAGGGGGACTGGCACAAGTTCAAGATCCAAGGACAGAGATGAGATAGAAATGCACAAGAGCAGAGCTCTGGGAACCAGAAGATGAACTTCTCATCTGAGAGCTGTGATGGGTCTACCAACAGAGCAGAGGTGGAATTTGTGTGAATATAAGTATATATCCCTTTAGGCTCAGAATTTCTAGAAACAATAGGTAGAACTTCTCTTGTTTCAACAAGAAAAGCAAAGTTCTGAGAGGAAAGGGACATAACTTGCAAGCCTGGAGCTCTTCCAGCTGTTAGAGACTTTGATGCTAACCCTGGCTACCTTGACAAGATGAGTCTCAGTACTTAATTGTGTCTTCACATGGAAGATGGCTATGCAGTCTATGTAGGTCTTCACTGTCATTGTAT